ATTTGGGATTCAATCATCTCTTTAGATTTCCAGGGGTCCCTTCTTGTGGCTCCTGTGATGGAGAACCCCCTCCCCCCCCAACCCCAGGCTGGCTGGATTGGCTGTGGGATCAAGGACTCCTCTCTCCTTTGCACTGAACCTGTGCTCAGGATCTACCCCGTCCCCCCTTCCCCAGGTCCAGGGCATCGGACCCACCTTCAAACTGACCCTCCACATTCAGAACACGTCAGCTGGGCGCCCCTCCATCAACCTGCTGGTGAGCTTCCTCTACGACCAGAGCCTCTATGCCATGAAGAGAGCCTTCTTCAAGGTACCCCCACCCCCCAACACCTCTGACCACCCCTACAGGCCCCTGCACTCTGCCTGACTCAGCTTTGTCTTCCTATAGGCCCCCATGCTGGTCCCGGGACTGAACTACCCCATTGAAACCTTTGTGGAGTGTCTGAGCAACAAGGGGATCTTGGACATCATCAAGGTTTGTACAGGGACACCCCACCGCAGAGAGATGCCTGACCCTTTAAAATGCTCCCACCTCCCTCCTGGTGTGGGTGGGTGGGGGTTAGGACCCAGAGGTGGCTGCATCTCAGTGCCAAGGGAGGGATCCGTGTATAAAAAGTCCCTGCGCCCCACCTTAGAGGTGGCTGCATCTCAGCACTGGGCGCTCTGTCTTCTCTCTTGCAGGTGTTTGTATTGCGGGATGGCCAGAGCATGCCCTTGCTGACTGCCCATATCAACATGCCAGTGAGTGAGGGCCTGGCTGCTGCCTGAACCGCCTCTGGGGGGCAATAGAGACCAGAGCTGCAGTAGATCCCATAGGAGCCCTCACTGGATCAGAGCCAGGACTGAGAGCCGAGGCCCCCTGCTGTGCAGTGAACCACCAGCTGCCCCCAGGGTGCATGCTGCTCACTTGGGACCATGTAGAGGGGGGTGTCAGGGCTGCCGTCCCCAGCCTGGGGTGCATTCCCAGCTGCGTTGTCTGGGATCAGGCCAGCTCCTTACGTCAGAGGGGGTGTGGGGAGGTCCAGAGCTGCTGGGGAAAGGGGTGTTTCTCTCCCATCATGGCCCTGGGGGCAGCACCTGGAAACCCCCTTAGCTGTGATCGTAGCATCTCAATAAAGCCAGCACTGTTGCTGTATCGAGGGTGCTGGTGTCTGGAGTGCGCAGTGCGGGGGGAGATAAGGGGGTACACTCAGGTTAACAATCAAACAACCTCCCCCCCATCAAAACACACACAGCACATAAAAGCAGTTTAATGGCAGTTTCACAGGACACTTTCGCTGCTGCAGCAAAGGGAAGGAGCATTCGCGTGGAGGCAGTGTTGCTGGAAGGGCCGAGCCCAGCTCTGGGTACCTGTGGGGATGGAGCTAGAGCACTCTGAGTATCGAATTCATTCCCCCATCACCCAGGGAAGGCCCGTGGCCCCAGTTAGTTCTGTCTTGGTGGTGGCAGGGGTCTTGGCAGGCAGTCAGCAGGCTCTCGGCAGCAGCAGCACCTCCTCCTTCAGCGGGGGCAGGGGACGTTATGTCCCGGAGCCTCAACACTGTTGACGGTGGCTGTTACAGGGAATGTGGTGATGCCACAGGCGTTACTGCCACGATGGAGACGGTAATAGCCCTGCCGAGGGGACACGTGGTTAAGGACAGATGCTACTGGACAGCCTTTCCTCACCCAGGGCTGCTCTACACCAGCAACTGACACTGACATAGCTCTGTCTCTCAGGGGTGTAAAAATCCACACACCCCGAGAGATGTAGCAGTGCCGACCTCCCCCTGCAGTAGCCTGCGCTAGGTGGATGGAAGAATTCTTCTGTCAGCCCAGTTCCTGCCTCTCAGGGAGGTGGATGAACTTCAGTGACAGGAGACCCCCTGCCACTGGTGGAGTTGGCAGTGCAGCTGTGTTGTTGTAGCGGTTTAAGTGTAGACAAACCCTCACTCCGCCTTTGCGTCAAACTGGAATGGGGTCTGAACCTGGACAGGGAGTGGATAATAAAAGCCCACACCTCACCCCAGTGGGGGCCGTGTCTTCGTGTTAGGCAGGGGATCCTGTATAAACAGTCTCTGCACCCCACCCAGAGGCCATCTCTGTATGATCCCACAGCACAGCCTCCTTCAGACAAAACCAGCCCACACCCCCACAGCCAGCACTGCCCTGGGGGCAGCCCCATACACTCCCCACTCACCTCCTCTCCCCAGCCTTTCCCCCAGGAGTTCTTGATGATCCAGTACTGCCCTTCCTTCACTGCAATGAATTGGGGAAGAGAAAGGCACAGTGGTCTTAGTGCTTCTGACAGCTGAGCCCCCTGCCAAACCCCCAGTTCGTTTAACCCCATCTCACCCCAATCCAAACCCTTGTACTGCCCATCCCCACTCACCATCTTCCCCGTAGCCAACCAGCAGGCCAACATGATCCACGTGGTCCGGACTACAGTTCTTAACCGCGGGATGGGAGATGCCATTTTGATAATTCTGAAGAGGCACAAAAATGAGCTGAAAGTGAGTGGAGGGGGGGGGAAGAAGGGGGGGGCCTTAGTGGGTGGGTCACCATGGGATGGGCTGAGTAGACAGAAGGCTTCTCCTGCGTTGCTAATTGGGAGGCACCTACCTTCATGACAGCTGAGTTCAGGGTAACTGTGATTGGGCCTGCGCTTGCGACGTGTGCAGCTATTTCTACAAGAGGAAACCCAAATGTACGGGGTGAGGAGCAGGACCCAGGAACAAACCCCTGACTCAGGCATGGCCCCACCAGACTGCTGTTGTCCCCACACACTGGCTACATTGGCCCTTGCCCCTCCCTGTGTCCTCTGGGCCTCCTGCACCCCTCACATTCCCCCTCTGCTGCTCAGAGCTCCCCCAGGGGGAAGCATGAAACTAACCAGACCCTTGTTGGTTTTACACATATCACCCCATGCACCCTCCTGCCCATGCACAACTGCCTGGAAACTGACCAGGTCTTGATCAGTTCTGCTGGCCCTGCTTCCCCCCTCTCCCCTCCCCAGCCCTCTTTGTCACCCCCTAATCCTGTTCTACTGCCCCTCACTTGCTCCCTTTGCCCCCAGAACTCAACCATAGATGGCCCACTCCCCCCTGGCCCCAGTGCTGGCCCCACCCCAACCCCTTTCCCCCCCAGGCCTCACCCACTTCATCTCCAGGAAGGGTCTGGAAGCCATGGATATAGGCAGCCGGCACATTGAGGTTGTGGCATGTCTCCTTTCTCCCTGTGTAGGGGTAGGCATCCTCGCTGGTCAGCCCACCTGGGAGGGAGTGTATGTGAAAGGTCTGGGATGGCCCAGAGCGCATCATTCCCTGCTCCATCCTTCCCCTGTTCTGGACTCAAGGGTCACAGTAAACCCCTTCCCCCCAAATTCAGCCTGTCACAAAGAGTGTGGCCAGAGCAGGGCCTAGGACTGAGGAGGGGTCTCCCTTCTGTATACAGTATTGGGAAGATTGCTCCCAATATGGGTCAGGGTCCATGCACCACCTGGCGTGATGGGGGCCCTAACCTCAGTCAGGGTCTGCGCAGCATCCGGTGATGGGGGCCGCAGACTAGGCTGGGGGCCCCAATCTCAGTCAAGGGGTCTGTGCAGCACCTGTGGTGACGGGGCCCCAATCTGGGTTGGCGTCTCTACAGTGCCTGGCATGATGGGAGGCACCAGTCTGAGTCCGAGTGATTCTCCATGCACTAAAGTATCCTCATAGTAAACAGCTGTGAGGGGTGAACAGGGGACAGTCCTGGGGGCTTTGGGGGGTTTATTGTCTGCAGGGCAAAGGACCCCATGTCCCTCCAGTGCCTACGTACGCCTGTGTAGCACCGTAGTGAAGGCGTCCCACACGTAGCCCCCTTTGCACCCCACTCCACACCAGCTGCAGTCCAACACCTCTGCAAGGGAAGTAGTGGGTGAGCACCAAGCCAGCTCCCCCTCACCCCAGTCAGACCCTGGGATCCTGCTCCTGCTGGGTGGCACACACTGACCAGGAAAGACCCCAGTGGGCACAGGCTCATCCGACAGGCAGGACGTCCCACAGTGGCTCCCACCGGGGTGATCAACCCACCCCTGCATGGAGAGACTCAGCACCTGCCACCCCCTGCTTAAACATCTGGTGGGGGGAGTTCCAGGGGCAGGGCTCAGCTGATAGTAGACTGGGGGTGGGGGGAGGTGATGGGATCGTAGCCTACTAGGAGGCAAGTCTGTGGTGGGGCTGTCCCCCCACCCCAGTGAGTGCTAATGGGGTGAAAATATGTGAACCCCTATGCATGGAGACATGGTCCTTGTATACCCCACCCACCCAGCCAGCTCCCAGACCCATCAAGGGTTACAAGCTCCCAGTTGGGACAGGAAGTGAAGTGGGTACTTTACTCTCTCTCTCTTTCTCTCTCTCACACACACACTCTCTCTCTTCCCCCCTCTCACGGCTGGGAAGGGCACGGAGTTTACAACAGTCCCAAGCGCCCCCTTCTCTGTGCCCCCCATTCATCCCAGCCTTTGGGGCTGCTGCTCGCAGCAGGGCAGCGCTGGGGTGCCCCACCCTGTTCCAGTCGAGGGGGTGGGGCTCCTCCCAGCCCCTACCTTGCACCGAGAGGTTCCGGGGCTGGTGGAAGTGGATGTTCCAGAGGGACTCGATGTTGGCAACGGCAGCGAAGGCCCAGCAGGAGCTGCACTTATCGCCCTGCGGAGAGAGGGGTGAGGCCCAGCGTGGTGCTAGGGGGCGCTGTGCTGTAGGGCAGGAGGGGGCGCTCTCCCCAGCCTCAGCGCTGACCCCAATGCCCCAGTTGAGGGAGTGGGCGCCAGCTGTGGTTAGCAGTGGGGAGCGGGGTGGGGCTGGAATGATTTTGTCAGTACTGAGCCCCTCATGGCTCCACCTGTCCTGCCCCATCTAACTGCCCATCTGGGGGGTTACCAACCCCACCCCTCCCACAACTACCTGGTTCTTCACGGCGGTCACGGCACCCGCCTTCCTCCAATCGCAGGAAGGGGGCAGCTTCTTCCTCGGGAGCTGGGGGGCCTGGTGCATGGTGTGGGGCGGGGGGCTCCAGAACATTCCCCGGAACTCCTCATCTGGGGAGATGGAGGGTGATGGTGCTGAGGGGGTGCTGGAAGGGGGAGTGAGGGGTGTAGAGAAGTTGTGGGTAGGCAAAAGGGGTGAAGAGCAGTGGAGACAGGGGAAGGGAGAAGGTGCACGGGAGGGGTGCAGAGCGGTGGGGGCGGGGAAGGGAGTGCAGAGCAGTGGGGGCAGAGAAGGTGCATGGGATGGGTGAAGGGTGGGGAAGGGGAATGAAGAGTGGTGGGGGCTGGGAAGGGAGGGAGTGCAGAGTAGGGGGGGCAGAGAAGGTGCATGCGAGGGGTGAAGAGCGGTGGGGGTGGGGAAGGGAGAAGGTGCATGGGAAAGATGCAGAGCGGTGGAGCCGGGGGATGTGGGGTGCAGAGCGGTCAGGGCAGGAAATGGGGTGCATGGCAGGGGTGCAGAGTGGTGGGCGAAGGGGAAGGGAGGGGTGCAGAGCGGTTGGGGGCGAGGAAAGGAGGGGTGCACAGGAGGTGGTGCAGAGCGGTGGGCGTAGGGGAGGGAGGGGTGCAGAGCTGCAGGGGAGAGGGATGCGGTGCTCGAAGGCGCTGGTGTCACTCCCCACCTGTCCAGTCGCTGAAGCGGGTCACCCCGTACTGCCCCGTGCCCAGCTCCGTCTCCTGCAGCCGCCGCGCCGCGAGCAGGCTCTGCGTGAAGATCCCGAAGCGTCTGCGCTGCTCTGGAGGCGGATGGGGGGGTCACGGGCACTGGGGGGCACGACACCCCCCGCCAGTGGCATCAGACACCCTGACCCCCCCAGCACAAATCGGGGCGGGGATTTTCCACCCTCCCAGCGCCTCTTTCCGCTGCCAGCTACAGAGCCGAGCCACAGGGGGCTGGGTGTGAAACCAGCATGACAGAAAGAGCGAGACAGCAGCGGAGCCCCCGCCCCTCCCGCGCATCCCCCCGGCCCTGGGGGAGGGGAGCATGCAGGGCCCAGGGAAGTCGGCTCGCACCAGCCGCGGGCAGGCCAGGCCAGGCCAGGCTCAGAGGTGGCTGGTCACAGAGGCATGGAGAAGGGGATCGGGGGTGGACAGACCAGCCCGCCTCAGCCCCATCCGTCCCCCTGCTGCCCCCCATGTTCTCCCCTTGGTAAGAGCTCCCAGGAAGAGCCGCCTGCCCCCCCACACCAACAGCCCCCCACTCCCGTCCTGTCCGTCACCTGCGGGGCTCCTGTAGGTTCTGTTGAACTGAATCATAAAATCCTTGAACATTCGTGTCACTTCAGCCTGAAATGGACAAACCGGCAGGATGGTGGGGAGCGAAGGGGCATCCCAGCAACCAGTGCCCCTGCCTCAATCCCCATTCCCAGCCCCCGGCTACCCACAGCTCTGCTAATGCCTCCCAATCCCCACCCAAAGTCCCCTGCTACCCCTACCCCAGCTCCCGGCTATCCCTGCTTTGGGGTGGAGCCCACTGCTGTCTGGGGTGGATGGGGGGACATGCCCGTCTGGATGGGTGGGCGTTGGCGTCTGTGCAGTTTGGGTGTGTGTGTGGGGGAGCACATGAAGCATAGGGGAGTGTGCAAGGAGCATGAGGCACAGATTGGCCTACAGTGGTGGGGAATGGCTACAGGACCTTCCCCTCTCTCGGGTGCTGGCTCCAATCCCCGTCCCCGGATTCTCCACACATGCACCAAATGCTGGGTCTCAGCACAGTAGCCAGTGAGTCTTGGCACAGACACTCGGTATCTTCTCTGTCCTTCTCTGGCTTTCAGGCCCACTCTGCCCCAAAACTGCTCCTCCAGGTGCATCCTCCATCCCTTACCTTGCTGAGTTCGGTGGGCAGGACAGAGCCAGCTGGGAGGGCCGAGGCCCACAGCAGCAGGAGACAGGGACTCAGGACTCCAGGCCCCATGGCAGTAGCTGCTCAGTGCCTGCCCAGGCACACTGGGGGGTTATATGGGGAGGGGCAGGCAGAAGAGTGGCGGAAACCACAGAGCAGAGGAGCTGTAGGTGTGAGATCCGGGGGTGGGGGAGCAGATGTGTGTGTGGGGGGAGGGAATCCGAGATGTGGGGGTTGGGCTTCAGACGTCCAAGCAGCCTCAAACCTGCTCCTGTGCCCTCAGGGTCCGCACCACGGAGGGGGGCAGATTTGGGGACAATGGGGCATTGTTCCGGCCATTCCCATCGCTCATCTGCTCTACTACATTTACCGGGAGGCACCATCCCCTGGTGACCACCCTCCCCCCATGGGAGGTAAGAGTCCCCCAGAATCCAGGGACCTCGGGAGCAAAGATGCTTATGGAAGCCACAGCACAGTGAACCTCTGTCTGGGGCCGGCCTGGCCATGCTGAAATTCGGCCCGGATGCCTGGGTCTGCACCCTGAGTCCAGGGAAAAGGATCAGCCGTGACCTCCAGGTAACACTGCACTGGAGAAGTGAGGCACATAGCACCCCCTACTGAACCCCCCGCAGCTCAGCACCTCCTAGGGCTGCACTAGGCCATTGGGGCCAGCACTGATTGTGAGGGGCGAGTGCCCCCTACTGAATCCCCACCCTGCGGCCTGTCTAGCTAGCGAGGCAGGCCCTGTTCAGAGACATGGCTGAATCCACCCTACCCAGTTCCCCCCACCCCAGGCCTTGAACAGGTGCAGGCGCTGAGCTCGCAAACAGCTAATCACCTGACAGATTTCAGCCCTGCAGGCCCCCCCAGCTCATTGTACTCAGCACCACCGGGCTCTGTGCTTCATCCTGACACAAGCAGCCCCCTGCTAGCTTAGCCCAGGGCTCCCCCTGACTCTGCCTCTGCCCCTCCATCCTGACTTGCAGCCCCCCCCCGACAACTCCTCAGCTTTGGACCCCGTTTATCCCCAGAATCCCGGTCCCTCCTCCTGCCCCTGGCTTGGGCTCATTTAGTTGAACAGTTGCTGTGTTTTAAGGGTCCCACACCCAGGGCCTGTGTGGGATGGCAAAGGAATCATTAGTGTGAAAGGTCTGAAATCTCCATCACTTCAGGAAACATGGTGCCTGATTCACCAGTGAGTGGGGAGTCCAGGGCTGGGAGAGCAGGGGGCTGTGGGTCAGGATAGGGCCCAGGGTTGGGGATGGGGATTGGGGAGGGATCTCAGCAGTGGGAGAGGCAGGTGGTGTGGGGAGCACAAGCCGTGGGGGTGGGGATCGGGGAGGGGTCTGGGCAGTGGAGGAGGCAGGTGGTGCGGGGAGCACAAGCTGGGGGGGTGGGGATCGGGAAGGGATCTGGGCAGTGGGGGAGGCCGGGAGCATAGGCTGGGGAGTGGGGGGGACGTTTTCCCAAAGCTTGGAAGGCTCTCAGCAGCAGAGCTCCTGTTCTAAGGGGTAGGGGGGACACTGTGGGCCAGAGCAGGCTGTGTCACTATCCCATAATCCTCTTCTCTGTCTCCCCCACCCCCAGGTTCCTGGCCCAAGATGTACCAGAGATGGAGAATTTTGTGAACCG